GTTCTGCCCAAACGCAAATTTGGTATCATTTCTCAACTGAACAATTTGTTTTTTGAAAATCAATATTATCAACGTAGAGTTTTTCAACTCACTGTCTATATCGATCTAATCCTCAATCTTCTGATCCGCGCCAAGGACGTTAGTCCTGCTGATTTTTTATTTTATGGAGATTTTTTTTTCAATATTTTTTTTCATTGAGAACTGTTTTTCTTATCGCAATCTAGATGCACCCTATACCTATTTATTCGACATTCTTGATTCGGGTTTCTTTTCCATTTATTTGCATTTTTAAAAAATTTCAACTTTCCAGTAAAAACCATACAAAACATTTTCTTGGCGCAGTTTTTTAAAAAAACATTTGTTTTTGTTTTTTAGGAAGATCATTCATGCAAGCCGATGCCTTTATAGAGGGAAGTTTATCAACAAATATTTTGTCCCTAAGTTACAAAATTACTGTGATATTATCATTATTATTTGATTGAAGAATTGTTTTTTTGTCTGTGATTATTGGCTAGCTGAAATGACAAACTACTATCCCTCCATCCATATAAAACGAGCATTGGCTGGAAGCAAAATACATATGGGAGCATCGAATAACGAAGAATTAGTGCTAGAAATTACATTTCTTACTTGCACAAAATAAAATTTGTTTGAAAAAACTAAATCTATTTTGGCAATAAAAAATCTTGGTGCACGCTTCGCCTGTTTGCCAAGACAAGCAAATACAAAAAAATCGTTTTTTGATCATTTTTAACAAACTATTTTTTTGGCACAAGTAAGACTTATTCAAGAACTCTGTTGTTCTCTCAGTGTAGGCGGCCCGAGGCGAAGCCTATAAGGCTTCCGATCACATGAGCTGAAAAATTCCATCACACATGGTCTGAACGATATTTTTTTACAGTGATGTTATGTTCAACAAGTGCCTAACTGTCCTTTTTTTCGTTTACAAGTGCACGTAAACGAAAAGACACATTTCGGCACGAGGTGGACAGGTAGCTGCAGTGACAAACAGTACACTGATAGAAAGGATTAGTTATTGTTTACGAATGGATTTGGTTGGAGACGAGGGTCTATTCGGTCTTACCAAATGTTCGTTCGTTAATAGTTAACAAATGCACATTTGAGGAGCCTTGTTTGACTCGATTTTCACTTTCCAAGTTGACCATTCCTTAACTACTAACGAATATTCATTTGGTCATATTCAACTCTACCATTCGTTAATAGTTACCGAATCGCGTTTGGAATAAATGAATCAGTCTATCAGTGTATTGATCAGGATTACCGCAGACTCAAACCGAACCCGAGTGATGTAAAATAATCATGAATAAGAAACAAAAATTTGGCCAATTGCTAGATTTGACGAGGACTTAGTGCTTCGACATTTCTTTTCTGCATTGAATTCTTTTTTAGTAGTTGAGCATATCATCGCACCGAGCATATCATCGCTTCCATCGAAGCTCAATTTTGCGTGTTGCTAAAAATTTTACAATGATTCGATTATTCAAATTTTCTGAAGTCTCAACATTATTTTTACTTTTGTATATAACTGTCGGAAAATACTTTGGGAATGGGAAAAAAAGATATGAGATGTACATTTTTCAATATTCTCGGCTCAAGAAGGTTTCAAATCCTTCTTTCTCAGTTTTCAAACGCTTTACATAACGAGAAATATTTATCATAGCTGATGATACTTGCCGGTTTCGAGGATAAATGAGGAATTAATTTAATGCGAGCATGGTAGGAGAACAGTATTGTTGAAGAGGACAAGTTGTCTTTGTTTTGGTCTGTTTGATTTAGGTGATATTAACCCCTAGAGCGTTGGGATTTTGGAAATATTGTCGTACTAGAGGAGGCAATAATCATGTTTTTTGGGAGATATTGAGGGGTGAGGGGGCTGTTTAGTGTGGGGGAATTGATATAGTTGTGGAGGTTTGGTAACTCGGATATTGGGCAATATGGAGCAATAAAAGGCATTCGGATAATTGGGGGAAGTACTAACAGGATGGAAGTGTTTCTTTTTTCAGGACAATGGGGGATGATTGGGGATTGAGAAGTCTTACGGACCTTGTGAGATGTTTTTTCTCACTTTTTGATAGTTACACGGAAAGAATAGTCGAAGAAAAATTCTAGTGCTTAGCGCCAGGCACCAGGTGCAAATGGCCATACTCTCACTGTTTATTAAAAAAAAAAAGAAAATTCTGGATGAGGATAAGAGATTTTGATATAAGTTCATGAATTTGCAACTTGTAAGGTAGAGAAATTATAGAGCTGATATTGAAAAAAAATGTCTGTTAAATTTGTGAGGAATCCTGGAGAAATACTTTATTAAATCTTGGAAACATTAGAAATTTTATTATTCAGTCGGGGAAATTTTCCACTGTCAGCACTAGAACTTTTCCCATTCTTCGTATCGTCGTACGTGTCCGCCCGACATCGGCAACGTTCGGCTGAGCGAACGGAGCCGAACAGCTGCGCTGGGGGCATATTCTCGAGTTTTGTGAATGTCATCCACCGCACTAGAGGGCCGCCGCTCGCATTTCTCGTGTGCGAATTGGATTCACCGCTCACTTCACATGTGAATGGACTCGGTCTATGAATCGTCCCTTGCGTTCACCCGTCGCTCGCGGTGCTTCTCCGTTCACCCCTTGGTTTCGCCGACAATTCAAATTTAAAAAAAGACGTTTTATAAAAAATGGACAACTTGCGAAGGTATTTGTACTTTGAAGTCTTGCGAAATTTTGAGCGTGATATTCAAAATTTTGTCAATCTTCATCCACTGACTTTTTATAGTTGCTTTTGTAAACTCATTAGAGAACTTTGTGTTTATTAATTCTGGAGTCGCCTTCGCGAAATCCATGAGCATTTCTTTCTGTAATTCATTAGCAACCCCAGCACGTGGTTTAACCTCACTTTGATTGGCCTTCGCTTTTTTGATGTTTTTTCTGGAGGGCTCCATGGTGAAAAACAAGAACTTAATTGTCGAATATAATTTAAACAAATCCGATGATCGTGGGAGTTAGTAACAGTGGGGTGGATAGAGGGACAATGGGTGAACGGCAGGTCGACGAAACCGATGGGTGAACGGAGAAGCACCGCAAGCGACGGGTGAACGCAAGCGACGATTCACAGACCGAGTCCATTCACATGTGAAGTGAGCGGTGAATCCGATTCGCACACGAGAAATGCGAACGGCGCCCCTCTAGTGCGGTGGATGACATTCACAAAACTCGAGAATATGCCCCCTGGAAACTTACTGATGACGTTATGGTGTCAACTTCGGGGAACGTTAGCGTGAGTTCTGCAAGGTTATCACTATATTGATAGACCACATCAACTTTAATAATCAGGAAGGCCATTCTCAACGAGTAATTAAAAAACAAACCTCAAATTTGCTCAGGGAAATTTTGCCGATGAAGATTTCGCGATGAGAACGGCAATTTTCTAATGCCGAAACAGAAATTTTCATGTTCTGGATCCAGATATCTCGACCTCTGTTGAATTTCGAGTTTTACCCTTAAACTGATCTCGACTCTTTCAAGCAATTCTGAATAATTTTGTGTATATTTTCTTATAAACAAGATAAATTTATCAGGATATCAATTTCATCGAAAAATTGATGATCTTTAAGTAGAAGAGAATGGAGTAAATTAGAACGTTTGATTGATTCACTCTAATTGTTGATATCTTTCGTTATAAAGAGGAATATTGAGATTATGAGTCGATGACAAGTGTTCCACTGTGCTCTAGCTTTCACAAACATTTTGTGACATTTTTATTCTGGATTAGTGATGCCGTGAGATGAGACGAGACGAGAAACTGCATCTTCTTGTCTCGTCTCGTTGTCAGGAAACCATTCTCTCGTCTCGTCTCACCTTATCTCGTCTCTATTATCGAATTTGCACGGAAAAGAACTACACAGAGGGGCCCTTTCGACTCTCGTCTCACTTCGTTTCTCTCGTTCTTGACCAGCTTTTCTCGTGTCATCTCGTTTCTATTATTGTCTCGAATGACTCTTCTCGTCTTGTTTCTCATACGTCTCGCAGCATTACTATTCTGGATCCACAAATTCTAAAGATTTCCACAAAATAATCTCTATAAGAAATTTTTTCTCATGTATTTCCACCACTTCGTTACCTCGCACTCTCTCTGAAATTCCCGAAAAAGAATATTGGACAATATGTATCAATAAAACTACCTCGAATAATTGAGAAAAGCATCTAACAGGATATAGATGCTTTTTTTCTCTCTGAAAAGGGTGGATAAATGGGTATTACGCCGCCCGCAGACACCCTCTGCGCGTCTGTATGCAGATATTTCCTCGCATAACCGAGTTTGAAAACGTTGCGGCGCATGCAACAATGGCGTTTAACGAGAGCATGTTTCGTGGACCAAAGTACAGACAAGACCGAATACCCAACCACGAGGGATTATCCCATGCAGATTATCGTTGGTGTAAATTTCTTTCCCTGGTTCCTCATGACCACGAGGATCTAACTTTACCCGCGTCATCATTTTGGAAAGGCGCGGGAAGGGGGGGGGGACGCTCTACAATAACCTTTAGCTCACTGGCAACTTGGCCTGCATCTGATTAAACAGAGAAAAGGAGAGGCATAGAAGGATGGGAGAGCAACGGCTTGAATACGCAGATGTTGACGTGAGAGTAAACGTGAACTCTTGATTGCGGAAATGAAGCGCTCGACGGGAACACGGTATAGAGGAGATGTTAGGATTTTACGGGTGAAGGGGGAATCCCCGAATGAGACCATTGCTCGTTGAATTAATTGAACGGAGCGTGGATGAGTTCAGAGGCAAAGTGAACCGAAACAATTCTGTGATTCTTGGAGAAGAATAGAAGTCTCAATTTTCTGGAAAGTTTTAATTACTTAGATTTTAGGGACTGGTTATTTCTTGGAGACCCTTAAGGGAGTCGTGGGTAAAGCTGTGTTGACAATTTATTCGAATTTCTTGTTGGATTCATGAAAGATTGTATTTTATTGCAGTTTACGACGAGGCCCGGGAGCTAACGTGCAGGATGCCAGCGGATACTCAGCACTGCATCATGCTGCATTGAATGGGCATAAGTAAGGAATGTAAATTTTAGAGAGATTCAAATTTGATAGGATTCGGTATTCAAATTTGATAGGATTCGTCAATTTTTTTCGAAAGACAGAGGCGTCGACATGTTAGCTAAAGAAACTTGTTTGTCGATAATATTGGAGACTACAAAAAGCGTTTTCTGATGCTTGCTTCGAGAGGCAAGCATCAGAAAACCAATGTACTTCTCACCAGTACCGACCGGTACTTGAGGGAAGTTCACTTGTAAAGAGTTCGAAAAATACTTGTGCCAAGTACTTTTGTATCTTCGAGTGATGTACCACCTCTGCCGATCAAGTAGAAATACTGTAGTACTGGGAGGAAGTAGCTTCACTACTTTCTGCTAGTACTTTTAGTACTTTTCACAAGTACCAAACTTACTGGTGAAAAGTAATTTTTGATCTTCTCTCAAGTACTTTTATGAGCTAATTTTATTACTTTTAATTGATTACTTCATTGAGAAAAGGGAATATTATCGACTGATAAAATGAGCTTTCTGGCGCATTTTTGTAAATAGAAGTATTCAGGAGAAGATATTTTGTAGAAAAAAATCAGTAGATTGTGATTTTTATGGATGTTTGTTAAACCGAATTGATGTCCAATTTTGAGAATGGTAATTCTCGTTTTTGAAATCGTAATTCACGTCATTCTGACCGTAATTTACGATCTCAAAAGCGTAATTTATCCGTGTGAGAAACTCGTAAATTACATTTTTGAAAACGTGAATTACCATTTCAAAAACGCATTTTATCTTCAGATTTTTTTGTGTGTTCACTTGTGCTTCAACATTTAGATCTTCATTTGTAATCTTGAATGAATTCCTAAAAACAATTATGAGTACTGAATTTGAGTACTATTACTATTAGGTATGTGACTTAATTTTTACAGATTTTTCAGTAAATTTATTTAATATCAAAAAAAGAGAACAACAAACTTAATCTTGGAAATATTGTCCGTCGTTTTCTATGACCTTACGCCATCTCTCAGGTAACATTCGAATGCCGTCGCGAAAGAAACTTGCAGGCTTCGAGGCGATAAAGTCATCGACGAATTTACGCACATCGTCCAGCGTTTTAAACTGTTTATCCACTAAGGCGTGCTGCATGGACGGGAACAAGTGATAGTCGGATGGGGCCAAGTCTGGTGAATATTCCGCGTGCGGGAGAACTTCCCATCCCAAGTTTAAGAGGGTCTTCTGAGTCGCGCGAGCAACGTGAGGTCGAGCATTGTCATGCAGCAGTATGACTTGCCTGCTTCCTTGCCCAGTAAATGGCCTTTTCCGATCAAGTTCTTCGCTCATTTTGTTCAGTTGTCGGCTGTAGCGTTCCGCAGTCACTGTCTGATCTGTTTCCAGGAGTTCGTAATAAAGCACACCCTTCATGCCCGACCAGATACATAGGAGAATCTTCTTTAAGTGGATGTTCTGTTTCGGCGTCGATGTGCTGGATTGTCAGGGATCTACCCACGACTTTTTACGTTTGGGATTCTCGTAAAAAATATACTTTTCATCACCCGTCACAATTCTCCACAAGAAGTCCTTTTTTTGTTGCCGGGTAAGCAGTGAAAGACACGTGTTCATACGTTGACCTAGGTTTCTTTCGGTCAACACATGTGGGACCCACCTTCCAAGTTTTTGGATTTTTAGCATTTGACGCAAACGCTTAGAAATTGCTGTTCGGGTGACTCCTGACTGAGCTGTAAGCTCTTGTTGCGTTTGTGTCGAGTCTTCATCCAAAGCTTGCAATTCCGCATCTGTAAACTTTCGAGGCTGTCCAGGACGCGGCTGGTCACTCAGATCGAAATCACCACTTCTAAAACGTTTGTACCAATAATACGTTTCATAAGATACAACGTTAGCACCAAGAACACTACACATTGATTCCTGTGCTTCAGAAGCATTTTTTCCTTGTTGGAATTCGTATAAAATGCAGTGCCGAATGTGCTGTTTATCAGTTGCCATCGTAAACTTTGCTATTCTGAAAAGTTATATAACTTACATAGACTTGTCGTTCCGTGTTCTGAAACTTTTTGTCCGATCCTTTCAAAACCAGAAAAGACCGCGAATATATTTCTATTTTAAATATATTTTTAATCTCGAAGGAAAAATGTGTAAAAATTAAGTCACACACCTAATACTTATATTGAGTTCTGTTGGTACTTTTGAAAAGAACCAGCCAGGTACTCAGTACAAGTACTTTTTTACTTGTCTCGAGTAACAAAAGTACTTGTGACAAGTACTGAGGCACTTCTCACCAACACCTAGGTACTTGACGCACGATACTAGCATCCAGTTCTTTTGTAACTTCGAGGGAGTATAAAATTTCCCTTTTCCCCAGACACCTCTTGGTACTGCGTAGAAGTACTTTTCCTATTGATCAGAGGTAATTTTTTTTTGAGTGTACTAATTAGTACGGAATTGATTGAGGGGCTACTCACTCCCGAAATCACACTGAAGTCACCTGAAATCAATGGAAATCAATGAAGCAGAAATGTGATATTACGAGCGTAGTGCGCATCATGCAAGTAATTCGAGATTTTTAAATTGACACGACTTCATTTGCTCGAAAATCACGGATTTCGAATTATTGAAATGCTTTCATCTTCAATGAAATCATCTCTGTAATTATGTGTAATTAACTTCATTTCGTTAACATGGTGTCAGTCAATTATGAAATGAGCAGGCCCTCAGCGTTGATTGATTTCCGGATCAGCTTACGGGGACATTCATTAAATCCTTTTTTCATTTCATCATTCGACACTTCTAGGAATGTTAGGGAATTAATTCAATTTGCGTCTGAATAACTGTATTTCTCAGTTCTCCACATTCGAAATAATTAATAGATTGATGATGAATTTTAGGGACGTCGTGAAGACACTTCTTCAATACGAGGCATCGACAAACGTCGTTGATGCAAAGGGCTCATCACCCCTTCACTTGGCAGCATGGGCAGGCGACGCGGATATCGTCAGACTAATCTTGAGTCAAGGACCGTCTGTACCAAACGTTAATCTCGCAGTTAGTGAAATTCATCCATCTCGATTCAAATATTTTCAGAAATTTTAATTACAATTTTTCATTGAAGATCACAATTATTTTTACAGACGAAGGACAATGAAACAGCTCTCCACTGTGCCGCGCAGTATGGCCATACGGAAGTTGTGTCACAGCTGCTGCAGTACGGATGTGATCCCAGTATCCGTAACAGCCGGGGCGAGTCTGCACTCGATCTCGCCGCACAATATGGCAGGTAAATACAAAAAAAAAAGAGCAAAAGTTGGTCAAGTGATAGATCACGCGAATAGATTTTACAACAAATTGAGGGAAATTAATAAATTGGTGATTTGTAGGTTGGAGACTGTGCAACTGTTGGTGAGAACCCATCCTGAGTTGATTGAGCCACTGAGATGTTCTTCCTCATCCCTGATCTTCCCTCACACACCACTGCACTTGGCATCGCGAAATGGTCACAGGTAAGTCAACTTTTCGTGCTGATATTTCATCGACTTTGTTTTTTGTTTCACTAGTTGTCTACTTGCAACTTGAACCAAATTACAAACACTAAAATGTCAAATGGACTAGAGTGTTTAAAATTTTTGTCTGAATTTTCCATGCCAAATCCCGGAAATTAATATCGTGTTTGCTTTTCACTGAAGTTTAAGGAAAGCTCGTCATTGAACAATCAAATATCCCATTGCTTTTCAGTTCGAATGATCTGACAATCAATAAAATACTTGATTTTTCAGTTTAATTATTTCGTGAAAATTCAGGAAAATCGGGAAAATGCAGGGAAAAATGGAAAATTCGTGTTATTTTGTTTCTGAATGTTCATGTACCATTGAAAATTCAATCAAGTTGTGAAATTTAGATCTCACTCTCAGTGAAAACTCATGAATTTCCGTGAATTCTACCTAATACTTGAAATTTCGTCATCATTTTTCGCCTAAATCTGAAGAATTTAAGGTTTGGTTTGAATTCAACATTCGAGAGACGGAGCTATGAAGTTGGTCATTCATGCCCAAAAGTTGCCAAAAAAAAGCCAGAAAAATATTGATAATTGCAAAGTAAATTTTTGTTTGTTTTAAATTGGCCTCAAAGCTCCGCGAGGTTTCAAGCTATCAAATCATCCTTTGGCACACTCAAAGAATGTGGAAAACCCTTCAAAATGAGACGTTATATATAACATTATCTTCCGTTTGACGGGATTTATACGAGAAAATGACCTTTTTTCAATCGTTCGTTACTCAAGAACCTCATTTTTTTTCAACTGAAATTTTCCCCAAAAAAATTGTCAATAAAATGACAAGCATTTGATGCCAATTCGAATTTATCTTTCGCTGATGTTCAACGGTTATTAATTTTTTCAATAAGACAAGAATTGAAAATGCCCAAAAATCACTATTATTTATGCTCAAATAAGTGAATATCCAATTTAATATTAGCAAATGGTGGAGGTTAGACTGATTATTTCTTATATTATTCTCTATTTCCATTCTACAATGAGAGAAATAATAATTTTTTACTCAAAAAATCATAGAAGATGAAGAGTGCTATGTATGACATTTCATTTTGCCAGATTCTTCGTTCTTGGAGCGCGCCAAAGGGCGATTTGATAGCTTGAAACCCCGCTAAGCTACCGGGGCCGATTTGGAACAGACAAAAACTATTGAAAGAATCTACAAATTTTCAAAAAATCATAACTCCCTCAATTATCAATATTTTTCCATTTTTTGTCAAAATTTTTATCTAATAGTCATCTTTTCGCAAAAAAATTTGAGACGAAAATTCCCGGTCACCTCACATCTCCCTATACATACACCTCAAAATAACCTCTGACAAAAAACCCAAAAACTGGTCCGAGATGTATCCTCTAAAAACAACGTTGTGTTAATCCAGAACAAACTCCTGAACAATTTCCTGAATCATTTGAAAAGTCTCAAAATTGCCGCTGGATATGCCCTCGGATATATTGCTCAAGATACTCATAGACATACTCGCCCTTCCATAGCAAGTTTAAAAATCCCAAAAACTTCCCCCCCCCCCCCTTTACACTGAAAAAACCCCCTCACGACACAACCACTCAAGAATCGAAGAATCTCTTCCATTTACTCCTGAATAAGGCTGCGCACAAGATTCAAACGAGACTTCACTTTAAAGGGATCATCTCGGTCTTGGTGAATACAGAAACTTTTGGTCTCGTCAGTCTCAAAAGAGGTAGTATCGGCTCTTCTCGTGATGACTCACAGTCATTTATCTCCTCTCGGTCTCAAGTTTCACGTGCTTTTTCAATGTAGAACACAAACAAGCACAAGCGAGTTGATGGGTTTCAGTCTCGGTCGTCTCGTTTCGGTCTTTTACACATAAAAACGCGAAAAACTTGAAACCGAGATGAGATAAATTAACTGTGAGACATCACAAGAAGAGCCGATACTGTCTCTTTTGAGACTGTGACGATACCGAAAGTTTCCGCGCTCACCAAGGCCAAGACGATTCCTCCAAAGTGAGGTCTTGTTTGAGTCTTGTGCGCAGCCCTACTCCTGAACAATCCCCCCGAAACGTTTCAGAAACTACCCCTGGAGATACCCCTGAACCTATCGCTGAATATACCCAATAATATATTCTCCCCCCTACAGCAACATTGAAAATTCCAAAAACTACACCTCGATATTGTCTGAAGAAACCCCCTCAAACCATCCACAGACTTACCCCTTAATAATCCCGTAATTAATCCGAGAAACTACCCCCCGTTATATCCATCAGGAGCCCCGTCAATCTACCCCTGAATATATTTTCGAATAATTTCGCAGAAAATCTTTTTAATGTAACCCTCGTGACTCCCCTAAAAATACTACCAAACATATCCCCGGAGAATCACGTCAATTTATGGGGTATGTTCAGAAGGAGCACGCCCCTGAACAATCTCCCCGCAAAGTCTCACAAGCTACCCCTGTATATGTCCTGAGAAAACACTCTCAGCCTACCCACAGACATACCCATAAAAAATTTCGTCATTAATTATAGGAACTACCCTCCATTGTATCCCTCGAGTATTTTCTAGAAAATCCCTTCAGTCTATAGAATTTTTAGCCATCTCCCTAAAAATTCTCTTAAAAATAATCCGGAAAACTACTGTCGGTGTCAAAAGTAGAGACCACTCGAAATAAACGTCTATAACTCAGTGAAAAAAAATCGTAAAAATATGAGACCAAATACACTGTGTAATATAAGTATTTCGCTTGCCCAATACGGAGTTTCAAGTTTTTAATTTGATTAGTTTATTTATAATCGCTGTGAGAAGCCGAAAACCCCCCCGCTTTTCAGGGTCCGTAAAAGTCGGCAAATTTTGAACCGCTAGCAAACGTACGAAATTTTTTTTTTCAAAATCGTCAATTTTTTCAGAGATTCGTATAACCCTGAGAAGCCAACCAGGGAAGAAAAAGATCGAAATTGCGATAATTATTCATTTTATTCATAGAAATGTCGACTGCGGCTATTTCGTTGTAGAATTGCCGAGCCGACCTGAAAAAAAAAACAATGCATTTTGACTTCAATGTAAAACACATTCGGTCAATAGTTTTTCAATAAACAATCTCCGTTGATTTTTAAAAAAATTAAGAAAATTTGTCAAAAAAAGTGCTGTTAAAACGATCATAACTCGTTATGGGGGTTATGGGCCCGCTCACCGCCAGTCCCTCAAAATTAAAAACACATGTGCACCCGGCTACCTTTTTCAGGGGCGTCGATACCAGTTTCAGCCGTTTGGGCCCTTTGGGGCGCCAATATACTGTACATTGCTACTTTCCCATTAAAACAAAAATACGAACACGAATATTTTTCTTTTTAATAATTGTATCATTAATTATCCGTACTAATGGGTTTCATCAATATTAATCATTTGAAACTTGTGGCTACAATTAATTATTATTTGTTATTTTTAAATATAAACTCATCCACTGCTCTTAGCATTACCCAGGGTCAACGACGGGGACGTGGCAGTGGTCATGACCCAAAAAATAAATTATTTCCTATATTCGGTCCCAAAATTTTGGAACGAATACTGGAATATCATTCAATTCTTATTCAAAAATTTGCTGTCGTAATGAATTTGAAGTTCATTTTGCAGAACTCATTGATACTTGAATGATCGTATTAATGAGAGATAGTGGTTAATAATAATAATAAGAATACGCTAATGAATTCAATCTATGGGCGAATTCGCCAAATATTGATATGGTTTTGTACCTTAAAAATTTTAATTTCGTTGAGGCTTTTCACATGGTTTTTCTTATTATTAGGAAAATCCGCAGGGATTTTTTTCTTTCAATTTTTTCCAGTTTTGATATGCTGACTACATCAATTTTTCTATTCCTTGAGTATTTGACGAAATTTTTAGTGTCAGTAGTTATCAATTTTTTAATGGAAGATTTCAAAAATTGAAATAGTTAAAAAAATATATTTTCTAAAATCAATTTTGGACAGAAAGGATCGGAGTGCCACTTTGATTTCTCAGTATGTTTTGTAAAAAAGGTCACTTTGGGTAAGGAGAAAAGAAAATCTGCAATCATGGTTGGGGAAGACGGTACAAAGTGCAATTTGGTTCTTTTTGGCATTTTTAAAGCATTTCCGATGGTGTGAGCTAATTGAAACCATACTCAATTGGAAGAACTGAAAATTTCTATCGGAAGCACATGTCAGAAAATGTGGAAAAAATTTACCTCTACTGAAACCAAAAATTTCGT